GAGGAGGAAGGGGAAAGTATTTCTACTTGTTTTGCTGACTGCCACGCGTTTAAGAATGGATTGTGTGTGTATGTGTGTGTGTGTGTGTGTGTGTGTGTGTGTGTGTGTGTGTGTGTGTGTGTGTGTGTGTGTGTGTGTGTGTTGGTTGGTTGGTTGGTTGTGAAGATTGCCTTCCTGAGTGCATTAGAGAGCCGAGAACCAGTATCTGACCCTGCCTGTCTTGCGTCCGGCTCCGGTTGTGTCTGATTGTGACTGTAGGTCTCTTGGATGTTGGTCTACAGTGTATGCCATTTTTGAAGAGTTGGCAGTTCACAAGTTGGATGGGCTTCCCTTGGACAGAGACTGGAATTGGATCGTGTCATCGCTGGCCAATTTCTGTTGTTGTGGAGGTGGTGAGTAGATGTCGTGCGCAACAGCAGAAGCGGAAGGAGTAGGAGTAGGAGAAGGAGAAGGAGAAGGAGAAGGAGAAGGACAAATTGAAGGAGAAGGCCTTTCTGCCTCCCTCTCTCATACCTGTGTTTGTTTTCTTTATTGGTGTTTGTTGTTCAAGGAGTTGAATTGGGGTTTGAGCCCCATTGAGATAGTTGCGGGGGTGGGTGGTTTTCCCTGATGGGAAAAGAAAGGAAAATGAAGTAAAGGAGCATTCTCTCTCTCTTCTTCGCTTTGCCTTGCTTGGGGATAGAGGGAGAGTCTTTAGGAGGTGGCGGGGGTGGCGTCGCCGAATGTTGCCGTGCTTTTGCATGTCCCTTTGTTCATCCTCTTGGATGAAAAGACTGCCAAGATGATCTGTTCATCCTCTTGGATGAAAAGACTGCCAAGATGATCCTCGACAGTACGACATAATTTTTTTTTTTTCTTCTTCTTCTTCTTCTGCTTTTGCATCCTTTTCGATTGCCCCTGCGGGCGCAAAAGGCGATCTTGGGCGATGTAGCGCGTACTCACACTCGCTCTAATTTTTAAACGTATCTGTCTGACCTCATTTATGGTGCGGCCTGGATGCATCTGGCCACAATTCCGTTCAGAAATAAATCAAAAAGTCCTAGTGTGAGTACGCCCTTAGGACACGCAGACAGTTTTTTTTTTTTTTTTTTTTTAACTATTTCACTATTTTAGTATTTTCTCTTTGTTGGTCTGCCAAGTGAGTGTTTTAGTATTTTCTCTTTGATAGTCTGGGTGCAAAATGGACGTAGAAGTGTCATACTTCCGCCCGTTGAGTTTTTTTTTTTTTTTTTTTTGAAGTTCCGACTCCGGACGCGTTAACCAAATCGCTGCCTGTCGACTCACACAAGCCAGCTGGGCATCGCTGATTGGACGAGAGACAGCTGCACCTTGGACTTCAGACACTTATGTCATTCGGAAAGTCGTCGACTCTTGGCAGGTAGATGTCAGTGGACTGTAAAAGGGCAAAATTTTTGTGATGTTTCCATCCCTCCCCCCCCCCTGGCCGAGACTTGGACCTTGGATTTATGCGCAACCATAATTTGTTTGCCTTTTTAAAGGTTCACGAGTTTTTTTGCAGCTAGTTACCTTCCGTTTGTTTTCGTTCGTACTAATTCGTACGGATTTTTTCAGTTCTTCTTCTCTCCCATTCCGTCTCCCTCCTCGGTCTTCCTTCCTGCTTGCCTGATCTTCCTGTTACGCTATGGTGGCTTGGTGTCAGGGTGAACGCTGATGTCACACAGTCTTGTCGTGAGAGTTGTTTGAGTACAATTATAATTTGTTATTGAAAATCAATGGAAACAGAAAAGGGTTCCTTTTGAGTCAGCGAGACGGATTTTTTTTTCCCTTCTTTCCTTCCTTCCTTTCCTTCCATTTCTCCGCCATTGTTCAAGGCCGATCTTCTGCAAAGAGCTAAGGAAATGACGACGAGGAACTCGTGTCGTGTGGGACTCCGGTCTTCTTTTCCGGGTTCCGAGACTTGTTCCCTCCGCCCCGCCATCTCCCTCCCACCCTCACTCCCTCCACCGTGTGATCTAGAAATCCTCAGCCAGAATTGTTCTTCTCTCTCTCTCTCTCTCTCTCTCTCTCTCTCTCTCTCTCTCTCTCTCTCTCTCTCTCTCTCTCTCTGTCTGTGCAAGCAGGCAGTTGGATTTGTGTGGTGTGTTAGCTAAGCAAGCTATCAATTGCGCGTGGAAGTTGTCTGCCTGTTGATTTCATGGTGCTGTTCGTCGTCGTGGGTCAATTAGTGAACGGATCGATGGGTATAAATGCGGCTGATCGGATACTCTAAATCTTGTGCTTGGTTAGAGGAGATATAAGTGCAGGATGCAGTGCATGCAAGAGCACGGAGACGGGATTAAGTGAGAGCTAAAAGCCTGAAACTTGAAGGTAGTTATGATTTGTACAGTCAAACAATTCAATGAGTGATTTGATTTCAAGGCCCCATCAGGTTGGGGTTGTTAGGCCTCTATGCGTTGGGGCGGGATCACGCGGGGGCGGCGGAGAGGGCATCGGAGGGGACGGGGGGGGGTTGCAGGGGGGGGGGGGGGGGGGGGGGGGGGGGGGGGGGGGGGGGGGGGGGGGGGTGGGTGGGGGTGGTTGGGTGTGGGGGGGTTGGGGGGGGGGGGGGGGGGGGGGGGGGGGGGGGGGGGGGGGGGGGGGGGGGGGGGGGGGGGGGGGGGGGGGGGGGGGGGTAAGGATCGTCAAAATTTTGTCCAGTGAAGTATTCATACCTGCAACGACTGTTGGCACTTGTACGATTCCGTTCGCTGTTTTTCAATTTGAATGTGGGAGGGGTTAGGGTAATTTCAGTCTGTGCTATGTGCCTGATCCTCTGGAAAGATCTAATTTGTTGCGGAGGTACAGAGCTTGTAGGTATTGGAATGAAGGCTCCCTTCACTGCCCTCAGAAGTGGAGAATTCACCCTCAGAGCCTCAGCCGTTGACCGTGCAACGGCTTGTGACATTTTAAACTGCGCACAGGGAGTGCGCACGAACGAACCCTGGTGCAGGAACGGCATTTCGTCATCATCGAGTCGTATGCCTTCTGTGAGAAAAGGACGGCCGCTCGTGGTTGTCGGCCCGATGTCAGGACCCTTGCGTGCCACATGTGCAGCATCAAGGTAAGGCATGTGCAGTGTTGCACCAATCGGAGGAACGAGCCGATTCACAGCTTGTGGGACTCCGTCCGTTCAATCCGTCCGATTCTTGGCTTGAGTGTTGCTGTTTTAACTCGTAACTCAATTCTTGAGATTCTGTGTCTGACCTGCTCTCAGGAATACAGCGTTGAATATCAGCTGCTCTCCGATCTTGGACTGCTTGTTTGTTTGTTTGTTTGTTTCAAATGAAATTATTGGTTTGTGAGTGGCGTGCACTCGCCGGTCTTGTCTGGGCATACCGTCAAATTGCTGTGGGTGCACCCAGCTACAGTCTGTGCTTTGAGGATAAATATGTACAAACTGAATAAGAAACAGGCTACCGATCTGAGTATGAAGTGAGATTGACGGAGGTGCTAGCGATGTTCGAAGGTGGATCTTGGGCGTGCGGGGTCGGTATATAGCAGCAGCCTGGTTTAGTTTTGTTAGACACCTTTATGCTCGACTACATGGTTTTCTGATGACATTTGTCCCGTCTTTGGGGAAATCGCTCTCCCTAGGTCATGACAGTCGGTCAACAAATGGTAGTCCCCTCTGCTTCTCTTCTGGGGCAATATTCAGTGAGCGGGGGGGGGGGG